GTGGCTTTTCAGGGTTGTATGTGGGGTGTAGTCTATCAAGGTGCGACCATAGCTTCCTGCCCATCAGAAGTTCTGCTGGGCTCTTGTTAGTCAATGTGCTCGGTGTTATATGTTGGATGGTTAGCATTTTATCGATTTTGTCTTGAATGTCACCTGTGTCTAGCTTGTCTAATGCCTCTTTGGTATACCGAACTATGCATTCTGCCTGTCCGTTTGTTGCTGGGTGAGCGGGCGCTGTCAGGGCATGCCGTATGCCCTGTTCGGCGAGGAATTTTTCAAATGACAACACCATGAACTGCAGGCCGTTGTCTGAGACTAATAGGTCCGGTAACCCATGTGTTGCGAATAATTTTCTTAACTGATGACAGCTTCTGTTGTTGTGGAATGCATGACGCTGACCTCCAGCCAATTGGAGTAAGCGTTGACAGTTATTAGAAATGTATATCCTTTTGTGGGTCCTGTGAAATCTATATGGATCCTTGACCAGGGGCCCCTGGGTATCTCCCAGTTGAGGATCAGTGCAGGAGGGGGGGTAGGTCTGGGTTTTTGGCATTTAGTGCATGTTCCCACCCATGTTTCAATGTCCCTGTCCATCCCTGGCCACCAAAAGTAACTCCTGGCCAGGGATTTCATTTTTACGATGCCCGGGTGTCCTTCGTGTAACATGCACAGTACTTTTTCCTGCAGTCTTTCCAGAATGACAACCCTATACTCCCACAGTATACATCCCTTCACAATGGAAAGTTCAATTTGTCAGTTAGGGAAGGGTTTAAAAGTTTCATCAGTAACAGTTTCTGGCCAGCCCCTACCTACCCAGTTCAAAATCCATGCCATCTGTATGTCTTTTGCTGTTTCTTTCGCGATGTCTGATGCAGTGATGGGAAGGTTCGGTAATGTCTCAATTTGTAGAGTGGTTGTGGTAAGTGCCGGGTCATCATCTAGTTCTGGTAGGGGTGATCGGCTCAGGGTGTCCACATGGGGTATGTCCTTTCCTGGTCGGTGGATTAGTTTGTAACTGTATGAGGCAAGGAACTCTGACCACCTTGTCATCCATGGTGACAGGACGTTGGGGGTGGCCTTGTTCCCCGTGAGTATTCCCAATAACAGCTTGTGGTCTCTGATTAGAGAGAATGTTTGTGAAATTGTTTGATCCCGGTTATTACGGCTAGGGCTTCTCTGTCCAGTTGCTGTAATTTCTTTCAGCTTTTGACAGCATTTTGGAATAGAAGGCGATCGGTGCCTCTCTGCCGTTGGGTAATGTGTGGCTGAGTATGGCGCCGACGCCGAATGGAGATGCATCACAGGTGACTGCTAGTGGCCAGGTGTCGCTATATTGAATTAACACAGATTTGGATGTCAATAAGTCTTTAATTCCCTGGAATACAGCTTCCTCTCGTCAGCCCCAGGTCCAGATAGCTGTTTTATCTAGTAGTCTGTGCAATGGTTCTGCTATCATTGCCTTCTGCTGCAAAAAGACATTGTAAAAATTAATGAGTCCCAAAAATGCCTGTAAGTCAGCTTTATTCTTGGGTCTGGGTGCTTCTTTGATAGCTCTTTTTGTTTTTTCAGTGGGGTGGATCCCTTCTTCATCTATGAGGTATCCCAGGAACTCAACCTGCTTTGTGGCTAGCTGGCATTTTTCTCTTTTGACTTTGAGTCCCGCTTCTCTAAATCTTCGCAAGACTTCCCTCAGTCAGTTTTTTAGTTGCTTTTTGTCCCTGGCAGATACCAATATATCATCAAAGTAAGGGACCACCCCTTTGAGTCCTGTCAAAAGGTGCTCCATCAGGCTTTGGAAAACGCCTGGGACCACGCTGACGCTAAACTGCAGTCTGTTGCATTTGAATGCCCCCCTATGCGTCACAATAGTCTGTGCCTCTGCTGTCTCGGGGTCGACTGGCAACTGTTGATATGCTTGCGCAAGGTCGAGCTTTGCGAAAACTTTTCTCCCTCTAATGAATGTAAAAGGTGCTGGACTACCGGAACGGGGTATGCACTTGGTTGTAACGCGTGGTTAAGGGTGGCCTTATAATCACCACAGATGTGTACGGACCCATCTGGCTTAATGGGAGTCACAATTGGAGTTTCCCATCTTGCGTGATCGATGGGTTCCAACACCCCCTGTGCGATGAGTTTGTTCAATTGCTCATCGATTTTTGGTTTTAGTGCAAAGGGAACTCATCTGGACTTAAGTCTGATTGGCACTATGTTAGGATTCAAATTAAATGATATAGGGGTCCCTCGGTACTTGCCTAGCTTCCCATCGAATACGTCTTGGAACTCCTTCATCATGCTCTCTTCCCAGTCCGTCTCGGTGATGCTGTTAATTCCAGTCACTCTGATTCCCAGGGTAGTGAATCATTCGAGTCCAAGCAGGGTAGGGTGATATCGGTCGACGATTGTCAATGGAAGAATTTCGGTATGTCTTTTGAATTTGACTTGTAAATGTCCGAGTCCAACTACAGGGATTCTGTTTCCCTGGTAGTCTTTCAGAGTCAGGTTTTGCTTTTCTAGTTCTTCCCTTTTTATGTTGGGTATCAAGTTCTTTATGGTATTCCATGATACCATGGACAGATATGAGCCGGGATCCACCTCCATCTCACATGGCTGTCCTTCTATGCTAACGTTGATGCGTACCTTTCTTGCATCGGGTGCGCTTGAATGGCCAATGATGATTGTCTGATGTGTTTCTTCCTTCTCGTTGAGTCATTTACTTCTGTTCTCTCGGCTCCAATGATTACCGGTCTGTTTCTCTCTGGTTCTGGGGGGAGTGCTGCCTCGTCTTTTGGGGCTGTAGTTCTTTCTGTTCCGGCAGACTCTGGCAATGTGCCCCATCTTCCGCAGTGTCTGCAAATGGCATCGAGGAAACGGCACTCGGAATGGGGGTGGTCTCCTCCATATCTGGCACAATGGAATTCTGATCTCCTCTCCCTCTTCCGACTGGAGCTTATGTATTTCTTCTTCCTCGTCATTGGTGTTGGCTGAGGAATCGATGTCCTCATGGTGGGTGGTTGTGGTGGCGGTCTTCTGATTGCCCTCTGATTTCTGGTCTTGGGTTTGGTTCGGGTCGCCCTGAGTTCCTTGGGCAGCTGTATTCATTTGTCACATGGTGGCTGCTGATTTTTTCGCTGCTTCAGCCGCGGTGGCTTCAGCAATGGCTTTGATCACGGTGATATTGGGTTGGGTCAGTAGTCGGTTTTGTAGAGTAAGGTCTCTCAGTCCAAGGACCATGCGGTCTCTCATGGCTTCGTCCATGTTGAGAAAGTCACATGCCCCTCCAATGTCTCTTAGGGCCGCCACAAAATCTCCGATGCTCTCACCTTCTCGTTGATCTCTTTTGTAGAATTCGTATCTCTGGATAAGGCTGGAGACAGCTGGCGTGTAATGGGTTCTCAGTAGCTGGTTCCAATCTGGCCACGCCATCTGTTTAACGTCCTGGGGTTTGGCCAATGCCTTGGCCATTTTGAAAACTGTGAGGCCACAGTGCATCAGGAATACGGCTCTCTTCCTTTGATCGGTTATCCCCTGTAGTTCGTTGCTCTCGAGGAACATGAGGAATATGTCAATGTACGACTCCCAGTCCTCTTCTGCTGGGTTGAATGGTGCAGGTGGCGAGTTGTTGCCAGTCATCTTGTCGGTTGCTCGGTTCTCATTGCCACGTGCTTACTGGTTTCCTTGTCTCAGCATCCCATCCTCGTCGCCAGTGTTCTGTCGCGAGAAAGATTTGACTCGAGACCAGTGTGAATTCAAGCTCTTTATTTGCAACCAGTAACTGCAACAAAACCGGAGCCGTAACAGCCTCTTTTATAGCGGCTGCTCGCGGCTCGTGGCCAATGACAGTTCCTTAAACTTCCCGCCATCAGGCAGACCAATCGCAACAGTCTTTTAGTAGCCAATCAATAGGCGGCGATAGCGGTCCAATTGGAATGTAGTATTTCAAGTATGTAAATGTCTATATACAACAGAAACCAATCCAGGACAGAAACAACCTGGAGCTAAGGAGAAACTTCCTAACAGTGAGGAAAATTAACCAGTGGAGCAGCTTGCCTTCAAAAGTTGTAGGTGCTTCATCACTGGAGGTTTTTAAGAAAAGACTGGAAAGCCAGTTCTCTAGAACGGTACAGGGTCTCCTGTTTGAGCAGCACGGGGTTGGACTAGAAGACCTTCAAGATCCCTTCCAGCTCTATTCTGATTGATTTTCCAGATTCAAAGTTCAACCTGATACGTTCCCCTATAGTCATGAGACCGAATCCCAGCAACTAGGCCACATTTATAGCTATTTGTAATGTCCTATAGTGAGTTGATTAAATTTTACAGTGCTGAAAATTGGCCTTTACTTTTGGTTTTCAGCAAAGTTGTATCCATTGCAAACCATAGATTTGCTTAATTACAGAATTTGCTTAACGACCACTGTAGTAGTGGTCATAAAAATTACGTCATTACATGACACATTTTATGTCTGTAATGGGCAGGTTCCATTACAGTCATAATTTGAGAACTACGTATATATGTTCCTCTTTTATTTGCTGAGAAACTTTTCCTGTGCCGGCTGATCTTTTGGTTTCAGACAGGAAGAAAACAGAAATATAAAGCAGGATGTCATGTTCAAGGTGATATGTTTCTTAAACATGATCAGATTTCATGAAGATGAACTATATTATATATTAAAAGTTTAAGTCGTAAGTCACATAACACTTATTTACTAAAATTCTATAAGACTAAAAGAAAATGAGTCATAGGGTAGTTTTGGATGAGACTTTTATTCTACAGTTGTTTACCTGGAACACAACTTACAATGTAAAATATGAATGATGTCAATCCACTACTTTCCAGCATTTACACTTTTGCAAGTAATCTACCAAGAAACTAAACATGAAGTAGTGACATTTCAAGGAAGGAAGGAAGGAAGGAAGGAAGGAAGGAAGGAAGGAAGGAAGGAAGGAAGGAAGGAAGGAAGGAAGGAAGGAAGGAAGGCAGGCACAAGCTACATCCCTTTCACAAATGTAAGAACTAGAAATCTAAGAACTTAAATGTCTGGATTTTTGCATCACAAGGAAAGAGGTCAATGATTAAAGAGGAGCAATATCATAGATAAAAATGCAGACTGGAATTCATTTTTGTTCTTGGCATGGCTTTGGTGTTAGCTAGGTCTTTCCATCACTTGATGTGGGCACAGTGGTATCTTGTCATGAGCTTCATTTATATACAATTTCAGCATCTTCAACAGTTCTCACAGGTAACAAAAGCAAGTCCTCACTAAAATAGAGAAGAGATTAAACAGAGAATAAGTGAAGAGTTATCTTTAGGAATAAAGATTATGATATTGTATCAAAGCCCATAGATGGGTTTTGAGGAAGGAGTCTTGAAAACAAAAAGCAGCCACTCTAGATTTTGGGAGATGTTGACATCAGACAAGATGCTCATAGTGAGATTTTACTCTACTTTACTTTATTGTCATTGCACCTCGTACACTGAAATCAAACATCATCTTCAGTGCACATCATGACCATGAAAATAAACACAAACACACATCCTTCACCCTCCACACATTGAACCAGAAACCCCCGACACCACATCAACACTGCACTATACAGCAGAATTCAAAAAAGCTACTGCCCTGGGATAGAAGCTGTTTTTCAGCCTATTTGTTTTTGTTTTTATTATTCTGTACCATCTGCCAGATGGTAATAGTTCAAAAAAAAAAAAGGGTTCCCAGGATGAGATGGATATTTGAGAATGTTTTGAACTTTTTTAAGACAGCGGGAATTATAAAGCTCTTCCAAAGAAGGGGGAAGGCAACCAATGATCTTCTGGGCAATGACATTAACCCTCTGGAGTGCTTTCCTATCTGCCACTGTGCAATTGGCAAACCATACAGAGGTGCAGTATGTTAAAATGCTCTCTGTGGTGCAGCGGTAGAAGGTCACCAACAGTTTCTCATTCAGTTATTTTCTGAGAAGCCTCAGGTAGTATAATCTCTGCTGGGCCCTTTTGACCAGGGCTGCAATGTGGGCACCCCAGGTCAGGTCCTCTTTTAGGGTAACACCCAGAAACTTAAAACTGGCCACTTGCTCCATTCGGTCTCCATTGATAAGCAAGGACTGGATGTTTGATCTGTTCCTTCTATAATCCACTATAAGCTCCTTGGTCTTATTAGTGTTGAGGACCAAGTTTTTATCTCCACACCATAAAAGCAACCGGTCAACCTCATCTCGGTAAGCGGACTCATCACCCCTGGAGATAAGTCCCACCACTGTTGTATCATCTGCAAATTTAACATGAGTGGGAATGCAGTCATGCATATAAAGAGTATAGAGTAAGGGACTCAACACACAACCCTGTGGTGTACCAGTGTTAAGAATAAGGGCTGAAGAGGTATGATTACCTAATCTGACCCTCTGTGAGCAGCCAGACAAGAAATCCATAATCCAAAAGCAGATTGAATTAGAAAGCCCAAGGTCCAGAAGTTTAGACACTAGTCTATGTGGAAGAACTGAACTAAAATCCACAAAAAGCATCCTCACATAGCCCTCCTGCTGTTCTAGATGAGTCAGAGCAGTGTGAAGGGTGATGGCTATAGCGTCCTCTGCAGATCTATTTTTTCTGTATGCAAACTGGTGTTTATCAAATGTATGTGGAAGACCAGAAATGATGTGTCGGCAGACCAATTTCTCAAAGCACTTCATGATGATAGGAGTGAGTGCCACTGGTCTGTAATCATTGAGGTTTTTGATAGGGAACTTCTTTGGCAGCGGAACAATGGTGGCAACCTTCAAACAAGATGGAATAGTGGACTGGGGTAAAGACCGATTGAAGATCCTGGTAAAGACTCCAGCCAACTGATCAGCACAGTCTTTAAGCACTCAGCCAGAGGCACTGTCAGGATCAGCAGCCTTTCTAGGGTCCACAGCCTCAGAATGCTCCTCATCCTGTTCCTCCACAATGAGGTGGGGGCTACAATTGGCTGGTAGTTGTGTTTTATATGTCTCTGATGTCTCCACTTCAAAGCGAGCAAAGAAATGATTCAGTTCCTCTGCCAATGAAACATCCCCCTCAGCAGGGGTGACATTGGTCGGTTGATCGTTTGTAATTTCCTACCGTAACAAAATCTCTGCATTTCATTTTAGTTAATTCTTTCCAGTTTGCTAGTTCTCTTTTTTTGAGACCAACCAGTACTCTGAAGGAAAGGGCAAAATGGATGAAACCTGTTCCTTCTCTCATTCTCTGGTTCCACTGTTTTTTTTATATGTTAACATTACTTGTAAGCCATAAACCATTGTTTATCATCCCCAAACCTGTCTTTATTCAACAAACCATATTTGGGTGATGCTAATTAATTTAATTATATCTTATTTTTCAAATCAATGGGCATTTAATTCAGCTTAGTGTAATGTTTTAATGCAACTAATGGCTTCTTACAAATGGGAGATAACAATGAGAAAAATGTAAGTAAGAATGCAGTTTGCTATTCTCTTACGTTGAGTGTCTAGATAATGAACTATATCAGCCTTTAGTGATGGTCATGATAAAATAAATATAACCAAGATAGCCCTCGATTATCAATGCTAATTGGGATTGGAAACTCTACCATTAAACAATCCAGATGTAAGTAAAACATTCACATGACCATCTGTTATATCTTTCCATATCATTTTAGAATTACAAACTGCAGTCACAACTATTATTTGCCCTTTGTTCTTTAAACTTCAGGTAGTCCTCAATTTAAAACACTTCATTTAGTGACCATTTAAAGTTACAACAGCACTGAAAAAAGTGACTTACGACCATTTTTCACGTGATTATTGCAGCATCCCTATATGGTCACATGATTTACATTTGGATGCTTGGCAACTAGTTCATATTTATGATGGTTGCAGTGTCCTGGGGTCATGTGATCCCCTTTTGTGATCTTCTGAAAAGCAAAGGCAATGGGGAAGCCAGATTCACTTAACAACCATATTACTAATTGTAACAATTGCAGTGATTCACTTAACAAATGTGGCAAGAAAAGTCATAAAATGGGGCAAAACTCACTTAACAAATTTCTCATTTAGCAATAAGTCTCTCCTTAAAAACTTCCAGTGATGATCAATCTTATTTTCTGAGGATTGCACACAAGGCAAGTATAGGTAGTCCTCAATTTAAGACACAAGCAGGAATAGAGCTCTACCTACCTTGGAGCTCTACCTGCAACATTGCAATAGCAACAGCGCTTACATTTACATACTGCTCCATAGTGCTTTACAGCACTCTCTGAGCAGCTAACAATGTCAACATGTTATCCCCAACAATTTGGGTCCTCATTTTATCGATCTCAGAAAGATGGAAGGTTGAGTCAATGTTGAGCTGGTCAGGATTGAACTCCTGGTTGTGAGCAGTTTGCCTGCAATACTGAATTCCAACCACTGCGCCACCATGGCTCCAGTATACTGTATTGTATCTGGAATAGTGTGATTACTATGAAAGACACTTTTTTGTCAAGTTCTTTATTTTATTTTACACATCAATGTGTGAACAGTGTGGCACCTGGGTATTATACATTTGGGTGCAAATAAGAATAATAATATTAATGATATTTGTTATATTCATCAAACATGTAATTCTAATGTTAATACACATATCTGTATTAAGCTATAGCCTTTCATTATTTAATTATTCAATGTTTCAATATATTATTCTAATGCCAATCACAATATTGTTTACATTTACATGATAATTCCATTATTCAATTTTTAATCTTCCCTCTAATTATTGCTTTTATCTCATTATATAGAAATGTGTACATTAATAATCCCCCGTCTCTTATTTCTATCTCCATTCTAATTTTTAATCATGCCACCATTATATTTAAAAATGACATTTCCTTTTTACTCCTCATCTCTTATTTAGATTAATACTTTAATTCTTATTTGCTTTCATTTTAATAAAAAACAAAAATCATATTAATTATATTCATCCAGCTAATGTAGTTCTAATATTAATACACATATTTATGTTAAGTTATGCTTTCCCATTATTTAATTATTCAGTGTTTCAGTATGTTATTTCAATACCAATCTATTGCTTTTATTTTATTATATAATAGTATATATAATGTTTCCCCATTTTCTTATTTCTATTCTAGCTTTTAATCATGCCACCTTTATATTAAAAGAGATTTCGTTTCTAACCATCATCTCTTGCTCACATTAATATTTTAATTCTTATTCATTTTTTAACTTGCCTCCCACATTCCCCTCTTAGATCTTTGTTTCTGTCTGCATTCATATCCTGATTATTCAATCTAAATATTCTCTCATCTCTAGCCTCTTCCACTGTCTAGCTTTCATGCCCCTGTCTACTTTTTGAAAATATCTCCAAGTCTCTTTTTAAAACTCTTGGAGTATTTTCCCCTTGTTTTGTTTCGTCAGTCATTGTTATTTTTAATTGTCTCCTCATCTTCTTTTATTTGCTGGTTCATCTATTCTATTTTTCCCTCCATTTTTTCTGTTGACTCCTCCCTTTCCTGGGTGTCTTGATCTTTACTCACTATCCCTTGTATTATATTGTCCAGATTTCCTTTTATGCCATGCATTATTTCCTTAATCTCCTTGTGATCTCCTTGTGATTTCTTATTATAATGTCCTTTATATACATTAATATCGTATCTTCGTTTCCCCCTTATTGAGCATCTCATCTTATTTTAATAGGTCCTGCTCTTATCCAGTAGTCCAGGAACCACATATTCAAGCCTAAAATTGCTCTCCAAAAATACATTGATCATAATTCCTTATGTCTCATAGTTAATCCTTCAGCTCCATTTAAGTAGTCCAGGGAGTTGTTCAAAATCTCTTTAAATCCTCTTTATAAATTCAGTCATGTATCATAATATTCAGGGGTCACTTTAGCAATAGCAATAGACTTATATACCACTTTATAGCCCTCTCTAAGTGGTTTACAGAGTCAGCATATTGCCCCCGACAATCTGGGTCCTCATTTTACCCACCTTGGAAGGATGGGAGGCTGAGCCAACCTTGAACCTGGTGGGATTTGAACTGCCAAATTGTAGGCAGCTGGCTGCAGAAGTAGCTTGCAGTACTGCATTCTAACCACTGTACCACAGAGACTATTTAATTAGATATCTTCCTTTTCTCACATTTAAATCTCTGGTAATCATAAAGTAGATGCATATAACACAGTAAATATCTTCACAGTTCTCCAGATAAGTATTGTTTATTCCATATCCAAAATTTTACCAGGCTTGTAAATATATGTTG